GAATTGTGCAAAAACGACAATGCAGATACGGCTTTGATTGACGGTGTTACCATGACCACCAACATGAATATTCATTGCAACTCATTGCAAGAAGGGGTGAACTTGTCGACGAGACATACATTATTCTATCAGGCGTTAGTGGGGTATGATGGTGGTTTAAATGTAAAGTGGTGGCACACGACCATTTTGCATTTATGCCACTAACATCAGTAAAACTTCCCTCTTACAGTAGCCATACTCTGGAAAATAAAACTAATCATATCCAAAGTTGGTATCATTATCGCGACAGTTCATGGAACACTATCCGTACTATGGGAGCTAACACGCTCCACGCCAAATATAGGTCACCTGCCAATGGAAATAACAGGAGGCGTGAACTGCACTATAAACAAAAACGTTTCAATTTATGAATCGCAAATTGCGTCATGTCGCATCAGTATTCAAATACTCCGTCATAAGCAAAACCATTCTGTACTCCAAATCATGTGAGGGACTGGACAGAATGTTTAGGGGGGGTAGGCCGGTGTTTTTTGAAAGTCATACACATATAAATTTATGACCCTTCACACACATTTGCTTGAAGTTTGCTGACCTCTCCCTTGAATGGTGCAAGGAAAATTGTGACCCTCCCTTCTTCTAAGTGTAAGGATAGTACACTGTGTCCCAAAATTTCGTTTACGTTGATTAGCAATCAATAAAACAAACACATGCTGAGAGAATCCCATAATTTAACATCCACTGTTTCCCCGTTCATCAAGTCCTTGAAAACCGAGGGCTCAATGTTCTTCCATTCCTTTACTTCCCTTGCATTTAGCTGCTTCATGGACATAGGAGGTCGGCTACTGAGGCTGATGAGTTGAGGGCCATTCATCTTTATGGAGAAAGCCAGGAAGTTTCCTAGATCACCGCTCCTGGCTCACACGGGCGGTATGATGGGCACCAGTATCGGTTCCAGTAGGCTTCTGCAGATAGTATTGAGCGTTTACTGTGGTCCCCTGTGGCACTATGTGAAGCTCAGACAGCCCGGATGCTGACATTGCACCCCATACCATGGTATGGGCGCACAACTTCACCTTCTCAGAAGGAGGCACTTTCTCAGGACTATCGGTGTAGACCCGGTCATTTTGACTGTTGGGCGTCGGAAACAAATACAAGGGGCACCCGAGAAACTCCAGTTCTCCCAATCCTCTGGGGTCAAGCTGGCATACTTCCAGGCGAAAGAGAGGATCTTACTGGATCTCTGTCAGTCGTAGTATTTTGGGCCTTTTGTATGCCCTCAAACCAATTTTCTGTGTCAAATAGCGATGAACAGTGCTCTTAAAGCTTTTGTCGCCATTTTTTTTAATCTGCAACTCAACCGCTTACATGACTGTCGCCTTCTGCCCTTGAGCTTCCTGATCATGTCCCCGGCTTTGGCAATGTGCACACAAGGACGTCCAGATCGGACTTATCTTCAAAGCCTGCACCTTGCCAATCGTACAGACCTCCACAACTATGTGACATCCTGTTCACAGGTTTTTCCACACTACGAATGGCAACGGCTTGGGCACGGACTTGCCCACCACACAGTATAAATATGTTAATGAAAAAAAGAATCATATTCGCCAAATTATCTTCAGTGTATTTCTCTCTTGAATCAATTTGATGTTGAATGAATATAAGACCAAAACAAGCGTTCGTTATTTGTATGTGCCTAGTACTTTAACTGGGATATATGCACATGCAGTGGTTTACTTATTTAATCCAATATGTTTGACTAGCAGCCATTTTGTTTGTTTTTTAAAAATGTGATATCTTATGCATGCTTTGTTATTTTTTGTTCAAATTTAGTACATACATTATATATGTTCGGGTACAAGTCTGTGTCGATTCATTCAAGGATTGTATCAAAGATGGCAGACTGGCAGCCACTTTTGTTTTGTTATTTTTGAAAATCTTATGCATGCATTGTTGTAAAATTTGGTACATGCATTGTACGTTTTAGATTACATGTCCTCGAAAATTTGAATTACAATTGCATTAAAGATGGTCGACTGGTGGCCCTCTTGCTTTTTGACCAACTACTACTATATCACTAAGTATTTTAGCCCTTTTTCAGCCATGTTTTGCACATTCATCATAAATATAGGAATACATGTCCTTATCAGTTTGTTCCATAATCCTATTAACTTGTACTGTCGGCCTTAATTCCTCTTACACTGGATAATCATGGCTTAAGACAATTATATTTCAAAGATCACATTTAATTAATCAGTATTAAGTAATGCAGTGTGAAAGTTAAAATACATGTAAACAATCCGTGGCTATTGATATTGTAAACACATATTATATCATAATATTACACTACAATAAATCTGTGTGTTTTAATCTAGCAGTACACATAAATACTAGTTTTCCCTCCTGGTGAATTGCTAGTCGCCAAAGAACTTTATTCCCAGTAACTTGTTTTTTTCCAGATCTGGTGTATAGTACCGTCTGGAAAATTTCATTTCCATTATTAGAATCATCAGACAGTGGGTCCTCATCATAGCTCTGAATATAACTTAAGTTTTTAACATGTCATTCAATGTAAATACAACAGCTGAATGAGTAATGCAAATAGGTATTTTGGGGCAACACAGTCAATCAGACTGTGCATGAATTCTCAGATACTTTTATTGTGGTTTCATGAAGCTTGCATGACACAAAAATTGTAACCCTCCCCTCAATCTGTGCCCCCCCCACCCCCCCAAAAAAAAACACCGACCTATCCCCTCTGTAGTTTCTGTCCAGTTTCTAGAAGATGGGTTTCTTATATACCAAACTGCACAAATCGAAATTCCGATTTCAGCCCATAATTATGCTATTTAGTAATAATTCCCAAATTAGTTCGTCATAGCATACCGAAGAAATTGTTAAACTGATTTTTGTTTACTTCTATTCAACCTACAAACACCGTCATTAAAACGCCAAAGCAAGTGGCAAATTTTTGTTTTGTATTTTAGGTAGATGATTCAATGAAATAAAATTACTAACTTCGAAATATGTGTGTGAAGCTTAGCGAAACTGTTTTACTTGTTAGTACAACTGTCATGAATTAGTTTTCGTGTATCTGTTGACCGACTTGGTTAGCTGGTTACTAGTGGCTGTGTTTTGTCTGTCATCATTTAGGCTCATGCGAGGTCCTGGACGGAAATTGACTCAGTGATTTGAAACTAATTACGATATAACCGTCGCCATCCGGAGTACTATTTCTGACAGTTGGTATTTGTAGTTAATTAATATAGCGGACGATTAATTAGTAGATATGACGTCTTCAGTATTTCGTGTGATTGCAAGTTGAATGCGTGAAGGTTACGCCTTATAATCTTTATACTTCCTTGTAACAGCTAGAAAAGGGAAAAGGAAAAGATACCAAAAAAATAAGAATTGGCCATCTAGGAGACGGAGACGTAGACGATGACGATTACGATGATGATTGCTATAATCACACATATAGACAACGAGACTAGCATGAACAGCATAAAAACAAATGAACGCCAGTTAGCTATTTGTGTGTGAATTTTAAAACAAATATGGCGTTCTCCTTTAACCATGTATGTGTGACCAAGATATCAAGTTCTGTTTATCTGAGAGTAACGTTTTATGTATTTTACAGATTCATATGGGGATTTTAGACAATTCAACAAAATGGAATAAATCACAAAATAACACAACGGACAACACACTCGAAACATTCCGCAACTACCTACCCCATATTTGTAACTATATTTGATATCTGAGTAGGTAAGTATCTTAAACGTACCTAACCCCATACTGCATTCGCGTATCTAAGTGAGTTAGTATCTTGCACATATGAAACTATGAAATATACAAATGTAATAAAACTACATTAAACTAATCAGACCAATGAACATGCGGAAGTTTGCATATATCCAGACAATTCGGGAGCGTAATGTATCTAAAGCAAAATAGTAAATTTGTCCTGTAAGTAAAACGCCCAACACCCACCCGCCCTCCCGCATTCTCAATGTAAACACCAGCTATATGCATACGATTTGTATACCAATGTTGTTACATTGTTGTTGCCTGTACACTCTTATGCCATGACAATCAGAACATACTATTGAAAGCTAGGGAAAGTGCCAACAAGCCAAGCACAAAACCTACAAAAGTTGAATAAATGAATGAAAAATGGATTTTGTTTATTTTTTAATAATATAGTGACCAGCGTCATGGCAGAGGTAGAACGATCCCGAAACTGAAGCCGGCTCAACTACACTGATGTGAAAGTATTACAATCTCTGACAATGAGACGTACTCATTGTAAAGTGGATTACTCAAGGCACCTATATGACTCGCACCTCCGATGAGAGCGCAACAAGCGCAACACAAAAAATGATTTCACCCCAAATATACCACTCAACTCAACGATTTTTCACAATACTTTTAGGAGATGGTGTACTTGAATATCGATTTTATTTTGGGAGAGATGTGGTTCTGGTCACAGTGGAAACAAAATGGGCTTGTGTCGGAGTGGATAACTAAACAAAAGTAATGTTTACGGTATTGTAAACATGGGTTGTCTTATATACAAAGAATACGCGTAATTTGTGAATTCGCATTGAGACACGAGTGTTTTGGTTGTGCTAACAAGATATCTCAAAGGGTTACAGATTATCTGGATGAAATTTGTAAATAGTATTTTCCTGGAGACAAGAATCCTCTTTTGGCGGATAGATGTGGGTACGGGTGTCATAGAAACGTGACTTTCTGAAAGATTCTTCACTATTGCCTGTTAGGGCTATTGGAATGATAAGTACTCGGTAGCGTTGACAGAGATTTGTACTCTCGCAGTGACTTAAACCAAAGTACAAGAAATAGAGTTGATAAAGTGTCAGTTTCTCACGGATGGCGTTCGTCTTCTGAAAATGCACGTATTATAAAAATACCTTCAGAATCACACGACATAATTTTTTATTTATGTATATTACAAGAACAAAAACATGAAAACTCGCATATATAATACGTCAGTAGTCAATCAATGATATTTATTCCTTGCATTTGAAATACATTAATATGCAATAGTTACCATAAATTTAATATTTATTTTATAACATGTCACTAGTCAGCAAAAAAGTTATAAAAAGTAGATAGCCACAAGTAGTCCCCGTAGAAGTGTGTACGTCTGTGCCTGTGTATTAGGCAATTTCAGCTGCATTTCAAAACGCAGGATATGTAATATTTCAGGGATGTTCTTTCCTCGAAAACGTTTGCGTATACTAAGATAATTATAGTGGAAACTTATGGATAATCGTCACCACGACTATCAGTAGTCTCTGAAACGAGAAAAATAAAGACAGGGTATATTATAAACTATTATATTATTGGTGTATTGCTAGCTATTGTAGCATGGACACAATAATATGTGACGTAACTTCCAGTGGCATACTGTGAAATAATTTTATTTTTATTATTTTCGCATACGAAAATAAAAGAACAGATAGACGGAAACTACAAAAGTTATTCCCACAACCTTTTTTTTTCTAAACAAAACATATAGTTTACACATACTAAGACGCAAACACCGCTGATATTATTATAACGGATACCTGACTTTTCAACATACACAAAACAAATATCCATGAAATTACAGCGCGCAAAAAAATCATGCGCTTTGCAATGTGATGGTTTTTATTCAAAGTCTCCCGTTACGACATTGTTTAGAATTTAAGTCGAATAATTATAACGCCCGGAAGAATGAAATCACCATCATTATGCCAATTAGGTCGGGATGTTAACAGGTAACGCAAATTGTATTGAAATCGCTCTCGTGATGAAACCATTGAAAATTACAACGCATGATGAGCAATATTATTGGCAATGACAGATAAAATCATCAGTGAAAATCAGACAGAGACTTAGCCTCTCAAAATGTTATTGTATTTGACATTTCAACCCGGGCCCGGAAGTTGTCATCTTGTTAGTAAACTCTGAAGTTCGCTTGATAAATTTACTTTCAATAAATGTCGCCCTCTGGACACCTGGGAGCAACCCCATGACCATATTTCTTCACTTGCAAGAAATGGCTGTTACAAATTGGCACTAATATCACAGAAAATGTATAATAATACTTTATTCCTGTCTCATTAGTGTCATTAGGTAGAAAACAAGTTCTACAAATAGTTTCATCGTGTGATCACTCTAGGTATATAATTGTTTATTCAACAAGTAAACTAGCAAATTGTATGCATTTGACTTACTGAGACTGGCCGCAGCTGCCTTTATCAGAAAACCACGATATTGAACACTGGAGTCGCTCTTGAATTCTATGGACACTGGAGGTTTATATATTGCGGTAAAGTTCAAGGCGAAATCATCCAACAACTTCACATATTCTTCATTTTTTATTTTAACCAGGTCAAAACCAGGTTCTAGGTCTATATCTTGTACAGTTATCTGAAAACAGTTGTAGATATTAGTAATGCGAGATAGGTAGCTGTGCATTTTTTTAAACACAAAATTACGATTCGTATAACAGTAAAGGTACACTAGTTTTAAGCTTACCTGGACACCTTGTCCTTCTTCTACTTCCAAAACCCACAAACAGTCAGAATTGGGAGGATATTCAGATGGATAATTTGAAGAGGAAATAGAAATTTCTTCGCCAGTTGTAATTGTCATTACATCTGCGAAAGGACAGGTTTCAACGCTGGCTAATGATAAAAATCAACACGAAATTTGTCAGTAATTAGTTTTGCAAGATAACAAAGGTTATATATATACACTTCTCTCAATACTGTATTATTTAACTACTAATAATCTGATTGTACAACACATTCAAGTGCTACATGGTAAAATATTAAAATGGTAAAAGGTATAACTTACAACGCAATTTCATTGTTAACTTGAATCCAGTACCCTGCTGCTGACATGCACCACTCCTTAAATGAATCCAAATTTCATCCGACTCTGAATCAACAGTTGTGCCCACATTGTCAGCTGTCAATGACAATATCTGTTCTTGATCAATATACGCACCATTGCCAATATCCATGTGCACACAATTTTCCAATATATCCACATCATCAACTGAAACCTGCATTGTATTAGAAAAAAAACTATTAAATACAATTATAAATATATTATTGATTTAAGAAGTGCTCGCAAGAATAATGACATGGTAAAAATGTCAAACAACCAAAATCAAATTTACAAAATTACCTCAATTTTGTCGTTTGAGTTCCCGGATGTAATTACCCATTTGCAGTCAGCATAAGATGGGTAACTTTCTGGATAGTTTGGTGAAGTAAAAACCATTACTCCATCACTTGGCATAGTGATGAATTCGGTCTCTGTACAAGCATTTACAATTGAATCAGATACTAGGAATATAAACAGAAATTATTGCATTATGCTGGTTAGTGATTTCTGGAATTTCCAATAGTGTTCCAGCTGCGAGTTTTTGAGATTATCAAAATTAGTGAGAAACGTAGATACTATATTGTTCTGTGTTAGCGACGCATCTTTGACCGGTTTTATATACACACATTGGAGATAACACTAAACTTGTTTAACATGTGAAAATTTAGCAAGTATTTAAAATTACTTTAGTTATGGGCCATACTATACATATAATATTGGACTTTTTTATGATTTCTCGTAATAGTGATTCCATGTTGTTGTTGTTTTCATTGATAATCGTACGAGAGAAATCAGTATTTCTGTTATCTTTCACAGAAACATTGACCATGACGTTGGGCATTAACCTTTTAAAAACCTTAGGGTAAAGTTGATTTCGTGTGTATCAACAATAGTTATACTCAACGATGTTTTGTCATATAAGACACGTATTACACACTTCCTTTATGATTAGTAAGAATGCTCAAGAGAAATTTATAAAGAAAAAACAATCAATGTTCTGACCACATGTCACAATGCAACTAAGTTATTCACATATGTTAATTGTTATATATATATATATATATATATATATATATATATATATATATATATATATATATATATATATATATATATGCCAGCCACTACATTAGCTAACATGTTTTCAAATCATAATTCATACAAGGGAATGTGAAATTCAGGATGGTGCATTAATTAAATTAATTTACCTTCATATACATCCCTGTAGTCAATACAACCGCTGCACTCGCAATGGTCAGCACTAATCCCGCACCAATCATGTGGAGAACAGCATGGGTACATGCTATGAGGATCACATTCTGCTGGTGTTGCTCCATTTGGTGCAGAAAACAAGTTTCCGCATTGATAGTCATCTCTCCATGCTTGGGGTGACCCACCTGTTGAATAGAAATGGTTGGTAGTTTGTACATGTATGTTATTAAAACATTCAAACATAAAAATAAACAGGAGACATGGGACTCAAAGTTAATCACAACTTCAAAAGACGCATTATAATATAATATTGCAAATACAAAAGTATAGTATGTCACGTGAGTTTTTGCACGATAATTAATATTCTAAAAAAGGCATTTAATGCTTTTGAATCTTCTTCTAAATCACTAATCTTATTACTCTGAAATTTGGTACGTATCATGTTAGTCACTAGTAAATTCAAATGTCATTTAGGAAAACCCGGAAGTGCTATATATTTATCATTATTGGCGCCATTATCGATGTGCAATTGTCACATAATCCAGCTATCATGCATGTCGAGAAATGTGTGATTTAATTGTGTGTTTGGGATTACAATTGACATGTGTTCTGAACTAATGCGATTACTGTATTTTCTTGTGAATTGTTGATTGTTGTGTGTGCCACTTATGGTAAGTAATGCAGATGACCAAGGCTGTTGTGACATGAATGTAAAGTTGTCAAAACAACTATTTTAAGTTAAAAAATCAAACTTGCCTAGTGGGGATACAAACACTTGACATTCAATACACAAAGATCGACATGCTAACTCGTGGACCACATATTCTATTGTTCGGGCTATGAAACAGCAAACACTGATAATGGTGGTAGGCTTTGTCATGATGGTCGTGACTATCGCATGGAAATATCTGTAAGCTTTCTACTTAAAGTGTGACTGTTCTTTCATCTCATAGTTGTGCAAATGAATGTTATGTAAAATATTTTAAAATATTCTCAGATAATGTTTATTATTAATGATATCCATATGGCGTGTGGAATTTTTTTATTGTCGTTGTGTATAAATTAACTAGCTGGCCTCGTGAGCTCATTCATTATTTGAAAATATATTTCCCAGGTATTTGTTATACATACACTTTTACAATAGGTTATTGTGAACATTAAGGAAGACATTTCAATGAATTTTAAAGTGCCAAGTAAACTAGTTATTTCCCTTCAAATTGTATGCATTTGACTTACTGAGACGGGCAGCAGCTGCCTTTATCAGAAAACCACGATATTGAACACTGGAGTCGCTTTTGAATTCTATGGACACCGGAGGTTTATATATTGCGGTAAAATTCACAGAGGAATCATCCAATGCTATGTCCTGGTCTTGACTTGTAATTGTAACCGAGTCAAAATCAGGTTCTAGTTCAAAATCTTGTACAGTTATCTAAAAACAGTAGTAAATATTATTAATGCGAGGTAGGTAGCTCAGTATTTTTTAAACACACAATTACGATCCGCATAACAGTAAGAACACAATAAAAACTTACTTGAACACCTTGTCCTGGTTCTACATCCACAATCCAAACACAGTTAGAATTGGGAGGATATTCAGATGGATAATTTAAAGAGGAAATATAAATGTCTCCACCAGTTGGAATTGTCATTACTTCTCCTTGTGGGCAGGTTCCAGCGTTAGCTAATGATAAAAAGCAAGACGATTTTTTTCCGTATTTAGGTAAAAAAATGTTATATATACGGAAGGGCTATATTTATCATTATTGGCGCCATTAGCGATGTGCAATTGTCACATAATCAAGCTATCATGTATGTTCGAGAGTGTGTGATTTAATTTTGTGTTTGGGATTACAATGGACATGTGTTCTGAACTAATGAGATTACTGTATTTTCTTGTGAATTGTTGGATACTGTATGTGCCACCCATGGTTAGTAATGCAGATGACCAAAGCTGTTGTGACATGAATGTAAAGTTGTCTCAACGACTATTCCAAGTTAAAAAAATCAAACTTGCCTAGTGGGGATACAAACACTTGACATTCAATACACAAAGATCGACATGCTAACTCGTGGACCACATATTCTACTGTTCGGGCTATGAAACAGCAAACACTGATAATGGTGGTAGGCTTTGTCATGATGGTCGTGACTATCGCATGGAAATATCTGTAAGCTTTCTACTTAAAATTTGACTGTTCTTTCATCTCATAGTTGTGCAAATGAATGTTATGTAAAATATTTTAAAATATTCTCAGATAATGTTTATTATTAATGATATCCATACGGTGTGTGAAATTGTTTGATTGTCGTTGTATATAAATTAACTAGCTGGCCTCGTGAGCCCATTCATTATTTCAAAATATATTTCCCAGGTATTTGTTATACATATACTTTTACAATAGGTTATTGTGAACGTTAAGGAAGACATTTCAATGAATTTTAAAGTGCCAAGTAAACTAGTTATTTCCCTTCAAATTGTATGCGTTTGACTTACTTAGACGGGCAGCAGCTGCCTTTATCAGGAAACCGCGGAATTGAGCACTGGAATCACTCTGAAATTCTATGGACACCGGAGGTTTATATATTGCGGTAAAATTCACAGAGGAATCATCCAATGCTATGCCCTGGTCTTGAATTGTGATTGTAACCGAGTCAAAATGAGGTTCTAGTTCAAAATCTTGTACAGTTATCTAAAAACAGTAGGAAATATTATTAATGCGAGGTAGGTAGCTCAGTATTTTTTAAACACACAATTACGATCCGCATAACAGTAAGAACACAATAAAAACTTACTTGAACACCTTGTCCTGGTTCTACATCCACAATCCAAACACAGTTAGAATTGGGAGGATATTCAGATGGATAATTTAAAGAAGAAATATAAATGTCTCCACCAGTTGGAATTGTCATCACTTCTCCTTGTGGGCAGGTTCCAGCGTTGGCTAATGATAAAAAGCAAGACGATTTTTTTCCGTATTTAGGTAAAAAAATGTTATATATACACTTTTCTCAAAACAGATTTTAGGTGCCTTCTCTCAGTACTGTATTATTTAACTACTGGTAATCTGATTATACAAGACTTTCAAGTGCTACATGGTAAAATGTTGAAGTATAACTTACAACGTAATTTCACTGTTAACTTGAATCCAGTACCCTGCTGCTGACATGCACCACTCCTTAAATGAATCCAAATTTCATCCGACTCTGAATCAACAGTTGTGCCCACAGTGTCAGCTGTCAACGACAGTATCTGTTCTTTTTCAATAAATATACCCTTGCCAATATCCGCATGCACACAATTTTCCAATATATCCACATCATCAACTGAAACCTGCATTGTATTAAAAAATATATCAGATAAATATATTAACGTGTTAAAAAGTGTTAGCAAAAACAATGTCAAGCAACCAAAATCAAATTTAGCAAAATTACCTCAATAATGTCGTTTGAGTTCCTGGATGTAATTACCCATCTGCAATCAGCATAAGATGGGTAACTTTCTGGATAGTTTGGAGAAGTAAAAACCATTACTCCATCACTTGGCATAGTGATGAATTCGGTCTCTGTACAGGCATTTACAATTGAATTGGATACTATGAATATAAACACAAATTATTGCACTATGCAGGTTAGTAATTTCTGGTATTTCCAGCAGTGTTCCAGCTGCGAGTTTTTGAGATTATTAAAATCAGTGAGAAAAGTACATCCCATATTTACTGCGTTCAATAAAATCTTCGTTGAACGGCTTTATATACACATATTGAAGACAGCACTAACATTGTTTAACATGTGAAAACTTTTGATCATACTATTGGGCGTTCAGTGATACCGTGTTATTGTTGTTTTCATTGATAATCGTACAAGAGAAATCAGTATTTCTGTTATCTTTCACAGAAACATTGACCATGACGTTGGGCATTAACCTTTTAAAAACCTTAGGGTAAAGTTGATTTCGTGTGTATCAACAATAGTTATACTCAACGATGTTTTGTCATATAAGACACGTATTACACACTTCCTTTATGATTAGTAAGAATGCTCAAGAGAAATTTATAAAGAAAAAACAATCAATGTTCTGACCACATGTCACAATGCAACTAAGTTATTCACATATGTTAATTGTTATATATATATATATGCCAGCCATTACATTAGCTAACATGTTTTCAAATCTTACTTCATACAAGGGAATGTGAAATTCAGGATCGTACATTAATTAAATTGATTTACCTTCATATACATCCCTATAGTCAATACAACCGCTGCACTCGCAATGGTCAGCACTAATCCCGCACCAATCATGTGGAGAACAGCATGGGTACATGCCATGAGGGTCACATTCTGCTGGTGTTGCTCCATTTGGTGCAGAAAACAAGTTTCCGCATTGATAGTCATCTCTCCATGCTTGGGGTGACCCGCCTGTTGAATAGTTCATAATTAATGTAATGTTTGATAAAGATGAACAGCTTATATATATATTACAAGTAACCTGTAGAATGCTGTGTGGGTAATATTTTTATATTGATTTTTGTTGCATTTGCAGCAAATAGTTACCAAACAATGAGAAATCTATAGGATTGGATATACCTCTCAGCTGGCTTCACATGCATAGTTCAAGACTGCCTAACCGGTGCTTATACCAGGATTTAGTTGCAGCACTGTGGTCTGTGGTTACAGCTTTATTTTCCGAGTAATCACAAGAAATTGACATTACAATAGAAAATAAAAGACTGGCACTCCCATACAATTAATAGCAAGTGAAATTCCTGGAATTGAAACATAGATTTTGAAGTCACTGGTGTAGGCATTGAATAACTTCAAGTTGGCATA